AGGGGATTCTCCTCCTCTACTCTGCTCTCATCAGACCTCCCCCTGCAGTACTGCCTTCAGCTCTGGGGTCCTCAACTCAAGAATGACATGGACCTGTTGGAGCAAGTCCAGAGGAGAGCCATGATGATGATCAGTGGGCTGGAGCACCTCTCCTATGAAGACAGGCTGAGAGAGTTGGGGTTGTTCAGCCTGGAGAAGGCTCGGGGGAGACCTTAGAGCAGCTTTCCAGTACCTAAAGGGGGCCTACAAGAAAGCTGGGGAGGGACTTTTGACAAGGACATGGAGTGATAGGACAAGGGGCAATGGCTTTAAACTGGAAGAGGGAAGATTTAGATTGGGTATTAGGAAGAAATTCTTCACTGTGAGGGTGGAGAGGCACTGGAACAGGTTGCCCAGAGAAGCTGTGGATGCCCCACCCCTGGAAGTGTTCAAGGCCAGGTTGATGGGGCTTTGAGCAACCTGGTCCAGTGGAAGGTGTCCCTGTCCATGGTGGGGGGAGGTTGGAACTAGATGATCTTCAAGGTGTCTTCCAACCAAACCATTCTATGATTCTGTCATTGAGGTAGCTCCTCATCATCCCCAGGTCTAATAATGTATGTTTCTACCTTTGTGCTGTAAGATGGCAGCCATTCAGTCTGTGGGTGTGGCATCGATTTCCCTGAAATGAATGGAAGCAGCAGACACCTTTATGATTTATTTTTAATGAAATGGTGACACCAGTGCTGCCAGCAGTTATGGGCAGGGGGATATCACAGCATTTAAACAGAGGAAAATTGATGATATGTCATCTCTCCTCGTGTTATTACAAGAAAATAAAAATATTCCAACATTGTGAGAAACATGGGGGAAAATACGTATTGGCATCCCTGGTAAGATCCTTCATCTTTTAAGATTTTTCTCTTGAGATGGAGTGAAAAAACAAACAACCTTACCACTTATAAGTTTTCTTCTGTCTGAGAAAATGCCAATGTTTTGGGCCAAGGTCTGTGCCAGGGTAACTGCCATTAAGTCTGGCTTTCCAAACTGAAAGAAATAAGCAAGGTAGGAAGAGTAATCAGTTATGTACAGGTATCTCAGATGCAAGTGAAGCTTTTCTCATTTCAAGGCAATAAAAGGCAAAATCAGATGCACAGTGTTAGAGTTCTTACTTTAGAGCAGCTAGATAATGGACAAGTGAGGAAAACTAAATGCTGGCTTATGGACAAGTTAAGTAAGAGAAAGTCTGTTTCTTTCTTTCCATTGTGGCTGCAAGTATCAATCACAGGATATTGCAGAATCTGCTGAAAAGTGTATTTGAATCCATATCTGACTTTATTCACTCATCACTCTTCACTGAGACATCCCTTGTATAAAGCTGCACTAAAACTCTGCATCAGCAAAGAAGCAGCGAGCTATTTTGAGGAACATGTCTGCGCTGATAAATTCTGTGCAGATAAATTTCCACCACTTTTTGCTCATACCAGTATCCCAACCTACCTCATTCACACCTCCGCCTTTAAGCAAGGAGCAGATTCCACCAGTGTGGGCTATACCACTTCGACTGCTCTGAAATCGACTTCCCCTTTGACAAAAAGGAAAAGAAAAGAAAGTTTACCCTGCTCAGTCCATCAGTTTTGTACCTATCCATCCCAGTATTTACCCTTCTGATTTCCAAATGAGAAGTTAGCATTTGCAAATGCTGGTTGCCACCACTACACTACAAACTATGCAAAAACAAAATGGGAAAAACAGATAACCACTCACAAACCACACATGACAAATTATCTCCAGAAAAATTATGCCGTGCTTCCTCCTCCTTCTCAGACTACCTAATATAAGAAAGCATAAGAAGAAGGAGGCTATTTTGCCAAACCATCTGAATCTCACCAGCGTTTTGTTTGTTAACATACTACTGCAGCAAATGACTTCTGCTGGCATGTGCTACAGAGCGAGTGCAGGAGAAGAAGCCACCATGCTGCCAAGGCATGGGGGACTAGTAAAAAGACACATGTCTAGTTGGGCAATGTTGATGTGGTAGAACTCAAAGGGAGATGCATTAGCAGCTCCCTGGTGCAGAGGTAGGTGAAAACTCCCTGGAACTGCAGCCAAACTCATCCAAGGGACAGGTGCACTCCGAGTCTAAATCTAATCATCTCTTTGGTGCTGACCACATCAGCATGAATGACTGCCAGTTACTGCAGACAAAATATACTCTGCTCCACTTCAGAGTACTGATCCATGCGAGCTGCAGTAAACTGCTTTTTTCAAAGGAAAACAGAAAAACATCAAGAAACAACACAATGGGCTAACTATGCTGAAGGCGGAAGTTCATTTGTAACCACTGTACCATCACACCAGCCAACCTCAACTCCCAATTCAGCCGTGTCTCACTCACAGACACAATTTCAGAAACTGGTATTTCTAAACAATCTATGAATGCAATACCTCAAACACCATTGGTGGTGGTGCTATGGATAGCACTGGAGTTAGCATTACAGTGGTATCCAGAGTCCCAATCACAGGGCAAATAGGGCCCTCTTTGCCCTAGCCAATCCGCAAACATTCATAAGAACAAGACTTCCCCCAAAGACCTTACAATATCACTAGAGAAGACAAACAAAGGATATGAGAAAACCTGATTCCCATTTACAGATGAAGAACTGAGACACAGAGAAACCAAAATCTGCAAGCATCAATTGTAAGATCTTACTAGCTCTCTTCATGGCAGAAGTCAATAATAGTAATTAAGCACATGCAAAAATTCTGAGAGGGTGGATACTGGGGCTGAGTATCCTGGCACCGTACCAGAGTCATGTGAAAGTGAGGTGTTTAGGTTAAGTTTATTCATATAGGGTCCTAGAACAGTCAGCAGAGAGGGATAAGGACTCCAATAGAGCAATTGATCTGGCCAGTCTCATGTGGATCAAAAATCTCAGCCATCAACCTCTCCTCTATTTTCGTAGATATATTTTATTATACCAATCTCATTTCCAAAACTATTAAGATATTTAGAGAAATTAACATTCCTCCCAGTTTATTCTTCTTACAGCACATGTCTCTCTGGAGAATAAACTGTTCCGAGGATCTGAAACACTTCAGTAATCCTGCAGCATGCAGGTGATTCAACAAAGCAAAGCAGGCCACAGTGCTTTTTAAGCAGCAAACCTCACTGGTTTCAAAACCAATGTTCTGCTTTTAAATAATACAACAGGGCTGTCTGTGCTTTACTACTGAAGAAGCCAATCTCCAAGGTGGAACCATGCATCACCTTCCAGGTAGACGTGCTTGCAGAGCAGATAATTGCACAGAACAACCAAGGATTACAGCGCATGCAGCTCGGGCTTAGTATGTTAAAATTAAAATGAGAGTCAAACCTCTAGTTGTACTGGCAGGCAGTTTGTGTGTTAATTTTTTCCCACCTCCCCATCAGAAACATTATTTTCTGAATTACTGTGGGTTACACACACAATAGAAAGGAGATGCATCAGCCACTTGTGATAAGCAACCCCCGAGGAAAGAAAAAAAAACAGTAATAAAACATCACACGAGGTTACGTACGAAAAAAGGTGAACTGCGTCACTTTTCTCTCTGATAAAATCCCTCCTATATTTCATAAACTCACGTAGGGTCACCAAGGGGTTTTCAGATATGGTGAACTTGTTATCAGTAGCCCAGGTTTCCATGGCAACCAATACTATCCTGGTGTTAAGTTGTTCTTTATATATCTAGTACATTAACAGAATGAACAAATATATTTATGTCAAATAAAATAAAGATGAGTTTTACCCCTTTTTTGTAATAGCTTGCATTTTTACATAACTAAATATTTAGCTGCTTCTAGCACACTTTAGGTTCTCCCAGGTGATTTTATCTCCTTTAAAACCAACCAACAAGCATGAAAACAAAGTAATATCTACATTTTAGGTCTAATTTTTCAATCAGCTCTCTCAGCCTGCAGAAAGATCTCTTGCAGGTCCTACATGGGCAGAGGTGCATAGAAGGGAGAAGGGATTTTTGAAAAATTACTACAGAACCATTCCACATAGTTCAAAGATGTGCAATTAATGGGTCTTTTACAATTTCCAGCTTACCCCAGTGACACATGAGGGCTCTCTTATACCAAATACCGATCCACAAAAACACAGTTTTCACTGTTACACACCTCTACAGAGGTATTTAACCTCATGCTGGCTGAATCACAAAAAAGGGCCATTGTTTCAATGCTAGGGGTTAACACTCCACACCAAATATTTTCAAGAGTGGGAACCACATTCTTCTTTTTCTGGTAATACTTTTCTGGGGTGAGGTGTAAGAGCCATCAGCTCACCTGATCTAGCGCCACAGATATAATCCACACAATACACCTGTGTGTCCCTATTCTAACTCATGTACTCAAATGCACTTTTTCTGGAGAAATTTTAGTGCCTTTTCATTTCAGATTGTCTTTTGGGTTTTGGGTTGTCAACACAGGGATCCTGTGTTAAAAACTGTCATATCTAAGGTGCTCTTTAGAACTCAGACTCAAGAGATTGATCCAGCAGGATACTTAAATGTTTGAAGCCACAAAAAAAATCTCTAATGCTTTATGTTAGACAAAGGCTTGACAGGTGGCTGACTGTGGTTCTAGATGAAAATTTCTGATCTTCACATATGTTATTATTAGGTATACCATGAACTGACAACTCCTGCATCTATTGACAGGAGAATCATATGACTCATCTCACACGTAAAAGAACATTTAGTTGAGTGATACTTACTAAATCTGCCATGTTCACAACTGATTTAGCATAGCTGTTTGTATGGCCGACTGACAAGCGGTGCTTTTTACACTGTGAAACAAACACAGTCAAGTTACATATGCAGACTTCAGAAAAATAAGCTCCATTCCAAAAAAGCACAAAGTAAAAAGCAACTACCTCAACAGTAAAACCTCTGTGCAAGGTTAGTTCTCCTGTGCTGAATGTGATGTTAATAAGCAATAGTAGAAAATTGCTCAGAAATGCACATTACTGATTTACTTTTCAACAGTTGTTGTGAGGATCTATTCATTCCTGTTTGGAAAGTACTCTGAGATCTTTACTGAAAAATCGTGTAAGGACAGGAACATATTGTAACTCTCTTCATTATCTTTACTACTGGCAATTTTAAAGTTAATTCCAAATGCCAATACAGAAATTAGCAAAACAGCTTCCCTAGTTGAGACTCCTGTAGAGGTGTTACCCCAAGAGTCCCTGCATCCATGTTTTAATCTATCATCAGACTTGCTATTTTTTTTCAGCTCTCTCTCTTAAGTTGTCTTCTGGATTTCTTCATGTACAATTTCACACTCCCATAATGCCACAGTAACTGGTTCAAATCACTTTAGCAATCAGACTGCAACGGCACCTTTACTGAAATCTGTAATGCAGTGCCATAAAGATGACACTAAGGATAGCTGTCCAGGTACTCCTATTTGCAGAAAAAAAACACTTATAAATGAGCACCACAGGTAAGAAAGTCACAAGTCACAATATCTTAGAAGACTTTAGGACAAAAGGGCCAAGATTTTCAGAAATGTTTAATCATCGTGTGCCCCATTCATGCTTGATTTTGGAGTTGTCCATATTTCCCTGGAAGTCAGGATCTTTTAGTGGGCAAGAAGAAGTGCCCAGCAACTAGGGGGTGGGAAAGCCATGCTTTCAATCAGGAATGGGGAAAAAAAACACCAAAAATTAGGAAGTTAAACTTACTAAAAAAACAGAAGGACAGGACTGTGAAGCTAAACCTGGCAGAAAGGACAAAATGAAAAAGCTACAAAATAAATGGAAAATTAAGCACAGGAACGAAGGGAAATAAGTATACTGCTCAAGTCTCTATTTGCAACTAAAACCTCAATCTTTAGGATGCTTAGAGATGCTGGAGGCCTATAGAAATGTTTTCAGTACACTAATTTATAAGCTCATCTCAATGTTTGGGGTTTAAAAGCTTCATTCCCCCACTGGAAGCAATGGTTGGACAAGCAGCTGAGAGGGCAGACAGAAAGGCACCGCATCCCTCACAGCAGTGAGCGGCTCAGGGGGGCTGGCAGGACACAGCGGGCTCCGCAGACCAGAGGAAGAAGCATGAAGTTCACTGCTCCCTCGGAAGCGCCTGGGGAGGGTGAACGGTAAAAGCAGCTCTGACTTTGCAGGGTGTCAGCTCCATGCTGAGTGCACCCGGAGTGCTGCATTGGCTACACGCACAGAGAGTAATCCAAATACACACACACACTAGCCCAGGTCGTGGGGAAAGGGAGGAGCCTAGAGTATATGACATTTCCTTCTCCCAGGAGGAAATTATTTGGCTTCTTTGACCAAGGGCATTCACCGCCATTTGCTTCAGCGAATAAACCCCTAAGTGGACTGACTCTCGCAGTAGCTATAATTACCGAAATTAGGAAACATTGTCCTTGGGGGGAATCAGCGCAGACAAATAACATCCCAAGGGGAAAGTTGTGGCTTCAGGTCTTCAGGATCAAATAGAATTACACCAATTTAGGGAATTCAGCATCCAGTATTGTCCATTTTAATCCAAGAATTTATTGCTATGCTCCCCAAACTGAGCTGATGGAGGAGTACACTGTCTAAGGACTGTGGCACATTCCTTGTACACTCTGATACCTATTTTTGCCAATCTGGGTATTGCTTGAGAGAAGCTGCACATTACAGAAAGTGTAGATAAAATGTATAAATATATAAAGGACCATAAAATCAACTGATGTCACCAGTTAGAGGGGCACCACCAGTCTCTGAACTTTATCCAGTTACTTCAAGATCGAATCCTATTGTTTGTGTTTGACACCACCACATATCCCAGAAATACACTGTCTGGATTTGAAGACTGCAAGTGATGGAGAATTCACCATTTCATTTTATATTCCTTTCATTAACTATTAATCATCTTTACTGACATAAATCTATGTTTTTTCCCACTTGAATGAGCCTGGTTTTTCTTCAATACACTAATCTTTATTATATCTCTTTCCACTACATCAAAGAGCCTATTTATGTTATCCCACAGAAATTATACAAGGTAACAAAATTATTTTCTCTGTATTGATTCGGACATGTCAAAAAAATCTAGTCACTATTAATGTCCCCATTGTCAACAGCTGCTGCACAATTGCAATAACTGCATTATTGATTGCTGAGTGGCTATAACTAAGGTAAGTGCTCAAGAAAGCCAGAAAGAAAATCATCAGCTTAAGTCACACTGACATTAGTTACTTTATGACACAAAGCTTTAATTTATGACCCTTCTTTCTGATACTCAGGCCTGGTTGAATTCTTGGTGAAATTACCTTGCCAAAATTCAGAAGCAACTTCATCAATGGTTAATGAGACCATAATCTCTTCCCTTAAGGGCATACTGAATTTATTCTGGTCACACTTCTTTATTGTTAACCTTTATGGACCAATTAAGACAATTTGATGTTAATGATAACTGTAAGATGTTGAAGTGTGTCAGGCTTACCATTAGATGATCATTTACAATCATTAACTCAATGTATTTTGTTTCCTCTTCAACTTTACGTGGAATCTGACGAACCTACAGAGAGAGTACAGCTGTAAAACAGTTTTAACAGTAAAGAGAGAGTGTAACTGGTAACTAGAAATGGTTTCAGAAACCAAACTCTTCATGCATACATTTTTTCTATTGTCTTAATTCTGGTCTCAGATATTGATGAAACTTCTGGTGCTTAGTTGCAGCATTCAAAAAATTTTCACCTCCACCAGGACATTTATATGACCTTAAACAATAAAGAAAGACTTCATGTCTTTCAACCCATCTAATCCCAAATTTTTAAAGAAAGAGAATCCTCAGTGGGGCCTATATCTCTTAAATGCCTTGTGTCAGCTATAAAATTTTTTTCCATAGAGAAAGGGATCCCTCCTGCATACTTCATGAAAAATGTCTGTAACTATTCTATTATTTATTTTCACACTGCTTGATTCACAAAATGAAAGCAGTACTCACCTCTATGTTACGCTTACTTTGCACTTAGAAACATTTACAACTGTGCTTCTTCATGGCATCCTTGTTTTCCTGGGTTTTCCAGGAGAGTTATTACATTGTTATGATTTAAAAATGCAGAGTAAGGGCTAGTTTATAGAAAGGTAGCAAACCACCTGATATAAAGTAAGACCCTCAAGAATGACTTCTGGAATTTCTCCAATATCTTTCTCACTTCTCTTTTGCCTCTGAGAGGTTGGCATTAGTTAGAAGTGTTAAAGTCATCTTCCCCTCCCACTGCTTTCAGTATTTAATTTTTTCCTGCACTGTTCAGCACCGCTGACCCAGCCCTGTTTTGACCTGTACCATCATTTGAGCTCCATTCCTAAAATACAAAGAATTGCTGCTATCTTTCAAGAGTACAGACAAACACCTGCACTTACTGGCTCCCCACTCTAATAAACAGAAAATGAACGCTCGGTTTAGAATATTTATTTTAAATCAAAGTCAAGCGAAATAAAGTAGCTACTTATCACCACTGCAACATAAAAAATATCCGTAAATGTTTCATTAATTGGGAGTTTCTGATAAAACTCTATAATCAAAATGAGAGAAAATATTTTACCTACTTTTTCATTTGCAATTTAGCAGTGTTTAACAACTTTACAACCCTTCAGGTACGCAATGTCCAAGAGAACCCAACAATGTTTTGTCAAGATTAGATACCTCTTTTTGTAATAGCTGTATTGATATAGAGACCTCATGCCAAACCAGCAGCAGCAGCACGACTCCATTTGGACAAATTAATTCAGCAGACACAAAACAAACTTGATGGCATATTACTTATAAACAAGCGTATTGGCACCTACCTGCCTTTTACTTCTTTTGTGTCTTGGCTTTACAACAAACTTCTGCGATGTAGTATTCATTTGCCAGAACTCTAAGCAGAAAACACAGGCAAATACATTGAATGTTTACAAGAATATAGCCCAACAATTAGTGACCCTGATGCCACATGACAGCAGTATGGCATTCTTCCGCCTATCAGATGCAGTGACAACTCATTTTTTCAAGTTTCCAGCTAGAAAGGAGGCAACGTTACAGATGCTTCCCAGTAACAGGGTTCTTATTAAAAGCTCTACTAGTGATAATCTGGGTCTGCTGAAACAGATGATCTGTGGGTGTCACGCTTCAGAAAGCACAGCAGACGTTGTATGCCAAAACTTCACCAACACTGGGCATATAATATTATTCGTACAGTGCTTCCATGGAGTGAATCACATTTTTGGGAATTCAGCAGACATTCACAGAGCTCTCGCAACAGCTACCTAAATTATTAAGAAGAGCATGGAAGGCAGAATTAATGCTTTAAGACGATTATATTCACAAAGTAAAATATGTTGGAGTTGGGAGAAACCTTATGGGATTTTGGCAATGCTCACTATCAATACAATATACCTCCCTGCTAATTCCACTGTGTCTTTCATTTCTTAAACCTCTGATCACAAGCACCAAGTAGTTTATTCTTTTGCCAGATCCCTTTCACCAAATCTATTACTGGCTGCTCACGGAAAGAGACACATTATAAACTAAGCAGGAGACAATACTTGCTCTCACCCTTTCAAATGTCCAAGAAGTATTTTTCCATCTTTAATTTTACATTCATAGTCCCCACCTCACTTTTCCCAACAGAAAACAACTTCTTTTTCTTGTATAAACATGCTTACTATTCATATAACCCCAAGACGATCTTTTTTTGAGACATGTAAATTAAATGTTTGTGGTTGCTTATTTTGTAATATGTCTTTTTCCCTTGACTGCTTTCCTCTTTTGTGTTTTCTGCAGCTTTGGACATCCTTTCAGTCTCCATGAACTGGAAACTGCTTTCAGTATTCCAGAGTGATTTCACCAGTCCTGCAGAGAAGCAGACAGTACTATAGGAGCTGTGTAAATTAAGGGACTTCCGGTCCACATACTTTCGTACACAATTTTTGGTTCTGTTACAAAATCCTGAACAGTTCAGTTTCGCTGGTGAGACAGGAAATTTTCTCATAGCTCCACCTCCCACCTGCTGTACATTAACTGTGCAATTTCTGCATGAGGTTCAAACAATAGGATTAACAACAATGCTGATAGGAATTTGACAGGGCTGCCATATCAGTAAAACCTTAAAACATGAAGCTGAATTGCCCATCTGACAAAACATTACCAGCCGTAAGTGCTAATCTTAAACAGGAGTGTCTAGTTACTTATAAGACAAATCAGGAAAGCAAAGCATGACTAACTGGTATTGTCTTGGCTAATCTAGAGGATTATACTGTCATTTTGGTATGTGAGGTTTGCAGATATCCTTTTATGGAGGGACCCGGACAATCACAGGTCCTTTACTTAAAAATATTTTCATGGTTACACCAATGCACTTGAGGATTTTCTTTACAAAAATGAATTAAAATAAATTAAATCACATCCAAGGGTCCCTATTTATTGCTTAAAGACCTGCAGTGTCTAGACCTCACAATGATGAGAAACTAAATGTTGAAAATTTTTTTATAAATTTGATGTCAAGGAATTGATGTCAAAGTCTTTATCACTGTAATTTCTAACAAACACAAGGAGATGATGCAAATCATTTGGGTAGAACGGTTCTCGACAAGACAATAGGACAAAAGGAACAAGTAGATCTGAAACCAGGAACCAGAAACTTTAACGGGTTGCTTGCCCAAGAAACTTGGCTATACTGTATGAATCAGCTAGAAATGTGTCCTTTAGGTGAACTTAGATCATTATAATATTAAAACCATACCTCCAGTACTAAAGCTCCCCATCTCCAAGTAAAGACCCCTACCCACTGAATATGCGCAGTACATTCAAAATGCACTGTACCTTTAATTCAACATGAAAGTTAAGCCAATCACACTTTAGCCAAATAGTGATGTAAACTCATTATGCAAATATTACCTGAATAGAATTGTATAAATATGTTTCTATGTTTGACTTTCATGTGCTAGCTTTGCAGGAACACCCCCTAGCACCCCTTTCTGCACAGAACTGCTAGGAAAGAGCTAATACCTCAACTCTGTGTGTTATTGGCTTGCACACTGGGAAAATGATCCCACTAGTTTTGGGACAACAAATTTGGTTTTGATTATGCTTTTTATATGTTGATTAATTTAGTCTGTGCTCTAGTGTCACACAACTGGCTCTCAACCTGCCATTTTTGGTTTTATATCATGGTTAATTAAACTGGTAAGAATACAACTTTTCAATCAATAAAATAATAATTTACAGTACGTATATAGGGCCTCAGATAACTTTACCAGCAAATGTGATCGTTTTACCCACCTACGGAAGTCAGTCATCTCTAGAGGGGAATGATGCAGCCATTAATGTTAACACATTAACACTGTGCTATAATTCATAAACTGGATGAATTCACGCAGGGTGCATTTCCAGCCAGGGACCCTCAGGCAAAAGAACATGACCAGCAAAATCACAGGAAATGTCAATAGCTGAGAAAGTCTAGCAGAAATTTTGATGGGAAGATATTACCTTGAAAAAGTGTAATGAAGATTCATAGAATCATAGAATCATTTATGTTGGAAAAGACCTTTAAGATTGATAAGACCAAGCATAAACCTAACACTGCCAAGTCACTATGTCCCTAAGTGCCACATCTACACATCCTTCAAGTGACCTCAAAGGAAAAGGACATTTGTTATGCATTATTTGAAAAACAACACCTTCAATAAGATAGTGTTGTCTAAGACCATGCCAGGGCAATGTATGCCTCAATACAGACTGTGAGAAAAAACAGTCTACTAAATTATGAAGTTAAATGCTCTAAGCACATCAAATCATCCATCCAAGTTTTCTTATTTAAAGTCTTTATTACCTCCTCAGACCATTGAAACCTACAGTACAATTAATTCTTTTCTGCAATAGCTTGCCTTTTTTTTTTTAATATCCAAGCAGCAAAAGAATGTAAAAAGTATATTGCTATCAAATTGTGGTATAACAGTGTGTGCTTTTACTATCATATATCAAGTAATCCCTATTATTTGATTTTTTTTCCTTTCTAACATCAATAATGAAACCGATGATACATCCAGTCCATTCCTAATGCAGTGCTGAGTGGAAATCTTAGCTTACCCACAGACTTTTTTAAATAAGAAGAATATCTTTACATAAAGGAAGATCTAAGGCTGAGCAAATTGATAAATATGAGAGTAATAAGGAATATAAGAAATACTGATGACATAACCTAGCATAGTGCTTGCTACTACTACTAATGATGCTGCTGTAGCACTTAAAAAAAAAAAAAACAATCACAACAATACTATTCGCAATTAATTGCAAATATTGTTTAAAGAAAACAAAAAAAACCTCAAGACAACAGTCAGCACTCTCCAGACTGGCAGGGAAGAAGCAGTACCAAGCAGAGACACCGGTGGGGCAGTATGGGCAAGGAGCAAAGGAGAAGGTGGGGCCGGGTGTGCAGTAGGTTGGGGGATGAACGATAGAGCTCTTGTGGGCATAGGGAAAAGGGTGGGGAAGCAGAAAGTGGTGCAGACTGCTCTCATCCTCTGGAGCTGTGGCTGTGCATGGAGGATGACTTCAAGACAGAGACAAATTGAATAATTACAGACAAAGAAAAATGGTGGGATTCCTAATGAGAATATAGCCTATTACATCTACTGAAACTTTCACTACAAACCTCAGAAACACCTTTCCAAACAGTTTTACAAAAACAAGTAAGGACATGTGGGAGAGCAGACTGTGAGTTAAAGTTTATTTCTCCATATATGGGATCCTAAACATGAGGCATGAGAAGATTAGCACCCTACCTCTTATCCACATTACAAATATTTGTATAATTAAGACCATCAGCACTCCACAATGAAATCTCCTTTTCAACCTTTTCTACAATCTTGTGATTATAATTCAATCTAATGGCAACATCTTCCATTATGTCACATGCCAGGCTTTGTGCAGCAAAGCCAGCACCTATTTACTTCTTATCTACAGTAAAATCAAAACTGTACAAGCATGTCTGGATTTTTGTGGGGGCAAAACAAAAACAAACTCAAGCCCTATTTTGACCATTTTTTTGAAAATCAAGAAGATTTGGTGGAGGTGAAACTGGTGGATTATACTTGCAATGAATTCCTTTTCATATTTTTAAAAACAGAAAATAATTTTATTCCAAAATCTTGAAAACATAAAATTTCACTATTAGGAAATCTTCTAAGACAGTTGATAGATATCTACTAAGTACCAGCTCTAGCAGTCTCCTACTTTAACAACCTGAAACAGATTTATTTTAAACTCAGCAGTGGTTGCATTATTCCCAGCCTTTCAAATTATATATCCTCAAAAAAGTGTGATAAAAGATGCACTTTATTATTTAGCCTTATGTTCAATAAATTGTTCTCATTACACTACCATCTCCACAAGTACAGGAAGTAACCATGGTAGGTGTCTAAGGTGCACATACTAGGAAGCTTCATGATACAGATGACGACATCTTGCACTGTATGAGCCTTTTGTGCTGCCACTCCACTCCAACACTTCCTCCACCTCGCCTGCACAATCATCAGTGAAGGACATGAGGCATCAGGCTGGGAGACTGGTTTGTTTAGACTCAGAAAGATTCCTTCTACAGAACTGAAATCAAGATGACCCAACTGTAGGAATTTCTCTTTTTTTTTTTTTCCATTAGATCTCTGACTGATTCTACTTTCCTTAACAAATAGCAAACCTGCACACATCGTGCTCCAGGGAAGGGCTCATGTGCAGTACCCAGCACTGTAAGATCCCAGATCCAACTGTTACCATAGGACAAATGGTTTCTAACAAGATGACTGGACACCTGTAACTCTCCTGCAGAAATCAGTCTAGATGTGGTTTCTACCAAAATGACAGTGTCTATGAAGGACAGTT